TATGGGGGAAAATACATTTTATTGCTTTTTATCATTTGTGTACTCCTTATATTCTGAATTTATATAATTGTGCTGCCTCCTTTCATGTTTGGTTTGAGGCATTTTATTTTCTCCATTTCTGTTTTGTATATTTAACTTCCCAGTACCCAATGCCTTTCACCTGTGAGATGTGTGTGTGTGTGTGTGTGTGTGTGTGTGTGGAGGGGGGGAGGGTTAGGAGCAGGTGTAGGCCAGACACAGGGGTGAAAATCTCACCAATGAGCAATAAGGGATAGAACGTGCAGATCTTCTGAAATACAGTGATACATGGAGCAGAGGACAAGACAGGAGGGGTCTCTCACACAGAGTGAGGGTCCCTCGGCTCTCTGGAGTCCAGACATTGTGGCTGCTGGGAGACCCATCTGGCTGTGTCCTGACTGATGATCTGGGTTGTCCTGACTGATGATCTGGGTCGTCCTGAGGGCTCAGCAGCGCCCAGGTGAGCCCAGTGCCCAGCTTCCCATGCAGCTCCGTCTGCTCCCTGCATCCACTGACACCTCCCACACTTGCCTTCTGGGCAAGGAAAGGGGGCTTGGGGTTTGAATTTAGCAGCAATTCCAAGACTATGAGCACAGCATAGATCATTTGAGTTTTGAGATTGTGGTCAGTAGTTTAATTAGAATTTTCTTTGATTGACCTGTGGGAGTTCTTTCTTCAAATATAATGGAACATTTTATTTCTGTTACTTTTTTACTCTATCCCAAGGGATATGTAAATCCTATAAAAACACCCTAAATTTTGATATCATCATCTAGAATTTGGTTAAACAAATACTAATTCAAAATGTACAATTTGAAACAGGCTTGCCTGAGAGTTACCACGTTGGGTGTGAATTCTTTTCTTCTGTGATTACCTGTGTTCACTGCCAGCGGGAACTCTGGCATGGCATTCAGCAAGGAGATGGAGCAACTGACCTGGTCTTCGCGGATAATGATAAATGAGCGTTCAGTCTGTTTATCTAAATTTCTCCCCAAAGACCTTTTCCTTGAGGACGAGTCCACTTACCTTTCCTGGGAGGAGAACTATTTCCTTTGCCCAGCCAATGTCCCACCTCTCTTCTCTGCTGCCCTTGTCCCTGCTGAGGAATTCAAGGTGGCACCTGAAGCCACGCGGACAAGCCATCACGTCCCTCTGGTCTCTCAGTCATACGGGGATGTCTACGGGGCTAAGTGTCTAATTTTACTCAATTTCATCTGTCTGGCACTTCTTTGAATATTCCCCGGCTGAGAAAACCCTGATGTATGGGATTGTTGGGTTATATCTCTAAGTTAGGATTGTACTCTGAAAATAATCTCAAGCTACAGTTAGTAACACCATGTTCAACCTCTCCCTTTATCATTATTTAAATGTTAGCCCAAATCTCTAATAAATCTAAGGTTTTACAATGTATAATATGAGAATATGTTTACGGGTCCTCCTTGTTGGTGCATCAACAGGGTAAAGCACAGCTCTATAATGCTAGCAGTAGCCGCTGCAGCAGAAGTTCCATAGCATGACAGGTTCTGACCCACATGGCCCAGCAGACCTCTCCTGTCTCAGCCACTGCTCCCCTCAGCAGTGTACTTCCTTGATCTGCCTGTTCTGTTCCACGCTCTTTCTCTGGTGAGTGCTCTCACACCCCCGTGCATCTGGTTTGTACCCCAGTTCTGTATGCATTGATAAATAATTTTTTAAGTATCAGAAATAAATGCTTAAAAAGAATATTTAATATATCTGGGTAATATTTTCCCGAAATTAATAAGTTTGCAGGTTTACTATTGCTACTTATTGCAAGCAGACTTAAAATTTTAATGTCATGTGACATAAAAAAAAGCATGTGGGCCCTCCCTGGTGGCGCAGCGGGTTA